TTGCATGCCTGCCTTCCGTTGTACCGTTCTGCTTGTCTCTTTCGTCCCTACCTTTCTTCCTCCTCCTTCTCCTCTCCTCTCCTCCTCTCCTCCTCTCCTCCTCTCCTCTCCTCCTCTCTTGCCGCCGCTCGAGCTCACTCTCCTAGCAGACCTCTCAGTGGGACCTTGTCAGCAGCATCCACTGGGGGCAGCGGGGAGGAGATGCCTGCGATGTTGAAGAGAGCAGTCTCAGGTGAGAGGAAGGAGAGAGATGAGAGGAAGGCAGGAGAGAAGCGAGAACAGCTAGTGGAGGGAAGGGGGAAAGGAAGCTGCAGGCAAGAAGCGAGGGAGAGAAGGAGGGAATGGAGGAAAGGAAGATTGGAGGCAGAGGGAAGCAGCAGCAGCAGCAGCAGCAGCAGCAGCAGCAGCAGGGAGCAGCAGCAGCAGCAGCAGCACAGGAGACTTTGTGGTGGGTTAGTGCGGTATGAGTTTTCTGACATTGCTGCTGCAGATACGATGCTGGGAGAGGAGGAGACACGAGAATGCCCGGCTTGCGGGAAGAGCTTTGCTGCAGACATCTTCGAGAAGGTGCGAGAGGAGGAGGAGGAGGAGGAGGAGGAGGAGGAAGGGGGCGGGTGAGTGAGAGGTTACGGAAGAGAGAGGAGGAGGGTGGAGGAGGGGAGAAGAGAGGAGAGGGAAAGGGAAGAGAAGCAAAAGGCTGACTAGGAGGAAATGGAGGAGAGGGGCAGAAAGGAGTCTGAGAGTAAGGACTTGACAAGTAAAGAGGACGCAGGTGATAGTGCGGAGGATCAAACAGCATGGCTGCTGCTCCGGACCGTTACAGGCCTCCTCCTCCTCCTCCTCCTCTTCCTCTGCTATCGTCGCTCCTCGGCCAGGAGAGAGGAGCTCGGGGATCAAGTACAAGGAGGAAGAGAGGAACGACAGGGGATACGCCGATTTTCGGGAGGATCAGGTGACTTGACAAGAAGAGATGGGGAGAGAAAAGGAGGGAGAGAGAGGAGGGAGGGAGAGGGAGAGGGAGAGGGAGAGGGAGAGGGAGAGGGAGAGTGGGGATGCGAACTAACAGCAAGGTAGGGAGACAGCGGCAATCCGAGCGAAGTGCCCCGCGAGGAGGAGGAGGGGGGGGAGAGGAGGAGGACCAAGTGGAGGAGCAAGTGGAGGAGGGAGAGAGGAGCGGGCAGCCTGGAGGGGAACTTATGATGAGGTGGAGAGGGAGGAGGAGGCTCAGCTACCGATGAAGAGAGAGATTCAGAATACTCGCCGAGTCGCACAGCCTGATGTATGCAGTCTCCTCCTTTCCTCCGTCACCTTCTCCTCCAATACTACCATCACCTCCCCTCCCATTCCTCTTCTCTTTCTCCTCTTCTCTTCCCCCAGTCGTCTTTTCCACCACCACCACCACCTCCTCCTCCTCCTCCTCCTCCTC